TCAGTATATATTTATGCATCGTTACACGTCTTTATTGATCTGATCGTTTATTAACCCTAGTTTTTTTTTAATTGCATTGACCGATAGATTTTATATATTTAATTGATCATTGTATAATTTTGTCTCTAAATTCAATTACATTTTTCAATTGTCTGTTGATCGGATCATTGATTTGTGTGTGGGATTGAATTTTTTTTCTCGATTTATTATCTATTATTAATTAATATGCATTTGTGTCTTCTATAGGATAATTGGATGCAATATATGGTTAAATATGATGTGATTTAATTTTTTCCATTTTACTGTTACATTATGAAAATATTTATGACTTTAGATAATATATCGTTATTGTTGTTGCAATAACAATTTTTTTGTAAAGGTTGTGATCTTGTGTAAAGTGAGAAAGTGTGTAAAATTTAATCATTTTTGTAGATAAAAACCTTATATCCTATTTTATGTGAAATTGAATTCATTATGACTGCGAAGTGTATACCATACATGTAATGGAAGGAAATCTTCTCCCACTATAGATAAATTAGAAATATTGATAATCATTCGTTATTTTTCTTTTCTTTTCTTTTTTGTTAATAGATCGTTTGGACATAATTTTTTTTCCACAAATTTGGTTTCATAAATATCTTATAACCATATTGTAGAATAGAAACACTAATCTTGGTTTGATGATATATTAAAAAATCTATTTTTTTTATATAAAAATATATTTAATACCTTAAAAATACAAAACGCATTATGGCACTTATTCTTCACATTGACACGTCTAAACTTGTGATTTTTTATTCTCGACTTCGACGCATCACAACGCATTACGCATTTTAGAACACTGAATTGAATACACCCCCTTAGACTCCTCCAATTTAAAGCTTGTTTGGGAAGTTTTATAAGATATTTTAATAAAAATGAATGGTGGATAAACATGGGTGATTGACTTATTTAGGAGAATTAAAGTAAACAAAGAGTTTTGGAGAATTAAAGTACACAACTTCTAAATTCTATAATCTACCTGGGTCTGATATGCCTCATTATAGAGATATACAAAAAAAAGTTATTATTTAATCTTTATCTCTAACATCGGAAACCGTTTATAAGCAATGGTTTACTACAATTCATTCGCCTGTTTGATAGGCCATTTTTTTCCATGAAAAATGAAAAATAAATTTCAATTTTCACTTTTGTCTTATTTGATACAATTTCTTTTCCATGGAAATTTATTTCTTGAATTGGCTCACATGCTCACATTTTCCTTGATTTTGTGGAAAATTAATTTCTACCATTATCCAGCCTTTTTTTTTCGACAATGGAAAAAAATTTTAGACATAAATGCACAATCTTCCCTGCATGTAAGCCAAGTGTAAATCCTCAAATGCCTCTGATTTTCATGATTTCTTCCTTGTCTTTTGAGTTTTGTGTAAAAATAGAGTGCAGAATTTCAAGATATGCTGTGCTGGACTGGATCCACAATTACTATATATATGTAAAATAGATAGTTATCTTCAGCACTAATTTTGGTTTA